ATATATATGTACAGTATGTTTGCAGTTTATTTGACTCCTCAACCTTTTTTGAACAATTAAACTTATAAAGCCCCCCACATACTCGGGCATACTTCGACTTAAGGCGGACTCAAACATCTGCCAGGCAGGTCTGTACAGAGATCCATTTTTTACGTACGCATCCACGGTGTCGCACAATAAATTGCCCAGCAAGTTCACATCGAACAGTTTTGGATGTGACACCAAGCAGATAAGGTTGAGTGTACACAGTACGCCCAAGTATGTGAGAGYCTTAAAAGTAAACTGAAATAAATTACAGGTTGCAATAAAATAAACTAAAATTTYTTAAGAAAGCAAAATGACAAACCATCTTTATAGTACTGTATAATAATTCATGTGTGACAGATTTTTAAACTGTGATATTTAACAATAAATAAATAAAATGCATTTCTATGCAAAATGGATTWAAAAACAACTCCAGGAAAGGAAAAAAAAGAGGTTTTGTTGAGCAGAAATGACAGTTTTAATCCTCACTTCTTTGCACTGATGTGGGAGCCCTGTCAAAAATACTGCATGTCCATTATTCAAGAAGTGTCCAAGCATTCTTTTATTTTTATTCTGTGTGCCCCCCACAATTTATATGGATAGAATTTATTTTTTACAACAACTAGCTGGAATGAAAACAATCAAAAATGAAATAAAAGAAATGACTTTCTACTTCTTGCCCTTTTTAAAATGTAAGGAGTATAAAGTACAGATAATTGTGTGAAAATGTAAGAAGTAGAAGGAAAATGTAGGCTGAAAAATAATTACTCAAGTAGAGTACAGATACCCAAAAAATTCTACTTAAGTACAATAACGAAGTGTTTGTACTTAGCTACTTTGCAACTCTGTTTACTTATAACGTTTTTCTATTAAAAACAGAATTTTGTAAAATTATACTTTTAAAAACCAACTGAAGCATGGTAACGAGATAGAGCAACCGTCTCATTTCACAGCTGTTTATGCCGTTGACCCCAGCGGCCTCCAGCCCACGCAGACCGTGGTCTAYGTCGGTCGCAGCCCATGAATTCAGACACAGCCGTTAAGTTAAAATAAAATCAAATGTGCTTGTGTCAATGAAATGACTTCCTGTTTCCTGTTTTCCCACAGATACTGGAAGACGAAGAACCTCTCCCCCAAACGTCTGAGCACCGGGATCCTCATGTACACGCTGGCCTCCGCCATGTGCGACGAAATCCATCTTTATGGCTTCTGGCCCTTCGGCTGGGACCCCAACACGGGCAAGGAGTTGCCCTACCACTACTACGACAAGAAAGGGACCAAATTCACCACCAAGTGGCAGGAGACGCATCAGCTGCCCAGCGAGTTCAAGCTGCTCTACAAGCTGCACAGGGAAGGTGTGACCAAACTCAGCCTGACACACTGCACATAGACGGTCTCTGAAGCCAGGAGTCATGTACTTCAGCTCATTTCCAACATTTTTTTTTTTTTTTTGTGTGACACGTAAGCATGGTAAATGTCTTAGGGAGGGATTTTTCATTCTGCAGACACGTGCCACATTGTAATTTCACCTGAAGCACCTCTAGGCGGCTTCCATCCCCGGTTGTTTGGGGGGACTGCTTACCGTGGCTAAACACCGGAAAGTCCAATCTTCCCATTCTGATTGATGCAGATCAGCCTCCTTTACAACACTGATTATGTCAACTGAAATCACTGCCTAATCTCAGGGAAGGAGTTAGATCAGTGTTTTTTTGTAATCAGATTTTATGTCCAAGAGCGGTGCGGGTCATTCTGCGCTGCTGCTGAAGATGGTATTTGTTTACAAGGCTACTCACTCTAGATATCTCACACATGCTCGTCTTTTAGGTTTTTCTAGTGTGACTTTCAGCTTCAAACATTGTTGAGATTCTTCAGGTCTTTTAAATATTAATAATGTTCAACATTCCAACAATAAGCCATAAACCGATTGAGGAACATCCGGATGCGGTTGCAGACAGTGGCGTCGGCCTACATTAGTGTCTCCGGGGRGCTGGAGGAATTATTTTAAAAACTGCTATTCCGTGTGATAAATTTATGAAAGTGACAAAGAGAGATCAATGGTGACTCAATGGTTCAAGTTGTACCAAAATCACGGCTGTCGTAATGGAATTGGTTTGTCACAGAGTGCTTTTTCATAAAATCTGATCATTACTACAATTTAACTGCAATACATGGTTGTGACAAACTGCACTGTCTGTTTAAAGATGTTTTATTTCTGAGCATTATTTTTMAAAGCATATTATTACTTAGGTTATTATTTATGGGTGTGATAATCATGGTGATTGATAAAAATCAATTTGGAAGTGTACTTTTTAATGGTTTTGTTACCTAGCAGCTTTTTCCAYTTGACTCAGTTTTTCATGCTAACATAAATTGGCGATATTTTGACTTTATTTTTCTTTTTACAAACCGGAAACCCGACATGTTAGCAARGAAAGACTAACAAGCTGTAAATTTCAAATCTGAGGCAGTTTTTGTGTTTTATTTTCAATGTAAGTGGCTAATATCGATGCATGCTAGTGTGAATTTACAGCTATACTGTAAATTGTTTTTTGAGTTGAAATATTTTGGATAATATTGACATATCATGTACACTATTCACGTCAGCCAAATTTGATGTTGCTTTTATTATTTTTCTACCTGAATGAATATAAAGAAGCTAACGTTCGGTGCCTCAGGTTGAGGGGAGCAGGGAATGGATTAAAGAATCAGGGCCTTATTCTCAGTAATGAGGGCGTTGCTTCGGTCAGTCGTGGTGAAGCATGAGTTGGGTTGAAATGCAAAGCTCTCAATTTACTGGTCCATCTACTTTCATGATGTTTGGATCACGAGCAAAAGAACGAGACTCAGTTCGTTGAGGTGGTTTGGGCCTCRTGGTCGCCTTTGGAGGTTTTCCAGTCATGTCCCACCTGGAAGAGACCTTGTGGCAAACCCAGAACTTGCACGTCCTCTCTGGTTTGGCAACACTTTTGGGTCCCTCCAGTAAGACCTGTGGAGTGTTGCTGCATAGAGGTACATCTGGATTTCCCTCTGCGACTCGAYCATGAATAAACATTAGAAAATGGGCGGATAGCTAGCAGCTAGCAGTTTCACTTGAATTAAAGTCTTTAAAGTTATTTTGTGAAACTGTTTCCAGTCTCCACCATCTTTGAAATCTTGAACAGTTTTAACAGAAACAGAAAACATGGCTGAGCTGTGGCAGCAGTGATCACGTTTACAATCACGCATCATCGGCATAAAGTGATATAAATTTGGAGATTTAAATTGTTTATTTGAACCCCTTTTTCTCCCGCAGGGTGGATCGATAAAACGACATATAGCTTATACAATATACATTTAAAATAAAAGAATGATTCAAATAAATAATTAAAAGGCCAAACTAACAAGACATTTAAGTTCATGGGTGAATGTAATTTTATTTAGACTCTGAATGTCTACAAAAAAAATAAAGAATAGGAAAGAAATACAACACAATATCTTCCACTACCAAATAATCACTAAAAAAATAAAAGAATAAACAAAAGAGTAAATTATTTTTGAGATTTTGTTGATCTGTGACAGTATTTGCAGCATTAAATGAATGAATTCCTGTGGACTTACTGCATCTTGTATAAAGAGCATGATCATATAACACTGCATGTGAGGCACTAACAGATATCTGACGCTAGTTTTATACAACCTTTTTAAACTTGTTGGAGGGTAAATTTAGGTCTTTTGGTATAGTTTGTATTGACATTTGTGTAATCCGTAATCAGAATCTTTGTATGAGAGTTGTTAAACAGCTATAATAACTCTCCTGCTAAAACACATGGACCAAAACCTCTACAGATCAATTTACAACAAAAACACTTTTATTTTTTTGTAAAGCTAACCCAGTAGTTTCTGCCTATCCAAACTCCAACAACAGACATGTTGACAACCCAAAGAGTCAAATCTGGCCACATGATTGTCTCGTGTCTCTGCAAAGTGTGACCCTGTTTAACAAAAAGGTTTAATAAAACAGAGCGACACCGTCTCTCACTCTTTTCAGCTGATTTTTGTTGCCGTTCAGATTTAGTGTGATCGGACTTTGCTCGCCATCTTTTCTTCACAAATATTACTTTTTGTTTTTAAATCTCTTGAGACAGTGGACCTCTTCAGATTCCTAATCAGATCAAACGTATCTGGTGAAAAGTTTGTAACCAGATTGTTAATCTGTTTAATTTTGTAAATCCAGCTGCAGTAAAAGAACGCAGTAAAATATAGTGACTCCATGAATGTTCAACTTTTGGAGCGATCTGACTGAAAATTCCTCTGGTTCTGACATGAATGTTGGACAAATCCGTTGAAAAAAATTTTTTTAATGTTTGAAATGAATATGTAGAATGTGTGTAAAACTTATCAACGCTAATAAAAGTCTGTAAAGATTGTAATGCCTCTGAGAAGCACCAGTACGGCTTTTTGTGCATTAAATAACACGACGAGGACATGCAGAAGCTAAAAACAGACACTGTCTTTATTTTAGACACATCACTATACGTGTTCTCTTCCAAAAAACCCTTTAACACTCATGGACATGTGTTTCTGTGTTTGTTTGTTTTCTGCATGGAAATATTGTTCCATAACGCATAAAAAGCTTTAGCTGCTCGTGTACATGTCATGAATCATGTATTTGGACTGTGATGTCTGGTTTGTTTGATCAAAACAATCATTTGTGTTAAAAAAAAGTGTCTTAAATGTGTTAATTATGCTCCATGATAATGGCCTTTATGTGCCTGCATATTCCTTACATCAATGTTAAATAAAAACAGTATTTTCCTCTGAAATCTGGTCAACAAAAGTTATTTGGAAAAATATAAAATGATAATTAATGTGTTTTCAGCCATAAATAGTTGATCTTTGACATACTTGTTACAATTCTAAACCTAATTTTCTTATCATGGCTAATATTTAGAGGAACTTTATTTATTTGTTTGTTTATTTATTTATTTATTTTTGGCCTAAAGGGGCAGATATTAATAAGAATTTTTTCTTCTTTCTGCTACCTTACATTTTAATAGTGATTTGTATTATTTGTTGTATGTACACTATTTGTTTTGTTTTTAAATGAAAATGAATAAATTTACTAAATAAAACTTTAATGGGAAATAGAAACTGGAACAAATAAGCGACATAAACCTAAACTTTAGCTGATATACGGAAGCAGTTGTAAAAAGGGTTAGAGCCACAGAAGCTGTGACCCCTCCTCTTCCTGCTCTCAAACAGCAGCGTCACTTGTTCCCTCTGCATCAGATCTACAGTTTTTATGGTCAGCTGAGGATTTAGCACACCCCATCCTCTACACAAACACATAACTTGTAGATCTGAGCTCAGACTGGTTTCTGTTATCAGGAAGTGAAACTTACACAGACGCAGAGAGGAAAATGGCACAGAAAGGAATTCAACTGGACAGAGAAAGTTTCTCTTGTTCCATTTGTTTGGATCTATTAAATAATCCGGTGACTATTCCCTGTGGACACAGCTACTGCATGAAGTGTATTGAAGACTACTGGGATTCAGGGAATAGGATCCACAGCTGCCCTCAGTGCAGGAAAACCTTCACACCGAGGCCTGTTCTGGTAAAAAACCTCATGTTGGCAGCTTTAGTTGATCAGCTGAAGACGAGTGGACTCCAAGCTGCTCCTGCTGATCACAGCTATGCTGGAGCTGAAGATGTGGCCTGTGATGTCTGCACTGGAAGAAAACTCAAAGCCATAAAGTCCTGTTTGACGTGTTTGGTGTCTTACTGTGAGAAACACCTCCAGCCTCATTATGATGTAGCTCAGTTGAAGAAACATCAGCTGCTGGAGCCCTCCAACAAGCTCCACGACAACATCTGCTCTCGTCACGACGAGGTGATGAAGATGTTCTGTCGCACCGATCAGCAGAGCATCTGTTATGTCTGCATGGTGGAYGGACATAAAGACCACCACATCGTCTCAGCTGCAGCAGGAAGGAGCCAGAAGCAGGAGCAGCTCCAGGTGAGGAGAGCAAACATCCAGCAGAGAATCCAGGGCAGAGAGACAGATGTGAAGCTGCTTCAACAGCAGCTGGAGGACATCAACACATCTGCTGATAAAACAGTGGAGGACAGTGAGGAGATCTTCACTCAGCTGATCCGGCTGCTCCAGGAGAGAAGCTCTGAAGTCAAGCAGCAGATCAGATCCCAGCAGGAAACTGAGGCCCGTGGAGTCAGAGAGCTTCAGGAGAAGCTGGAGCAGGAGCTGACTGAGCTGAAGAGGAAAGATGCTGAGCTGAAGCAGCTCTCAGACACAGAGGATCACAACCAGTTTCTCCACAACTACCCCTCAGTGTCAGAACTCAGTGAGTCTCCACACTCATCCAGCATCAATGTTGCTCCTCTCAGATACTTTGAAGATGTGACAGCAGCTGTGGAGGAGCTCAGAGACAAACTACAGGACATTCTGAGAGACACGTGGACAAACGTCTCACTGAGAGGGGCTGAAGGGTTACTGCCAGAACCAGAACCAAGGAGCAGAGCTGACTTCTTGAAATATTCCTGTGAAATCACTCTGGATCCAAACACAGCACACAGAAAGCTGTTATTATCTGAGGGGAACAGAAAAGTAACATTAATGTTGAGAAATCAGTTTTATCCTGATCATCCACAGAGATTTCTTAGGTGTTTTCAAATTCTGAGTAAAGACAGTCTGACTGGACGTTGTTACTGGGAGGTGAAGTGGGAAGGACCAGGTGGTTTAGTTGCAGTAGCATACAAGGATGTTGATAAAACACTGAGTGGATTTGGATTTAATGATAAATCCTGGTCTTTATTTTACAACAAATATTATGAATTTTACCATAACAGGATCAGAACACCCATCTCAGGTCGTGTTACCTCTAGAGTTGGAGTGTACCTGGATCACACGGCAGGTATTCTGTCCTTCTACAGCATCTCTGAGACCATGACCCTCCTCCACAGAGTCCAGACCACCTTTACTCAACCTCTGCATGCTGGGATAGGTCTCTGGGCTTCTAAAAACACAGCTGAGATCTGTAAATTAAAATAATTATCTAATTTTGTGGGGTTCAGGTTTCTTGATGTGCTGCTTCCTTCTGGCCCAGACATCAACTTCTCTGTTTTTGTTTTAATGTTTTTTTATTAAGTGTTACTCTGACTTGTTTCTCTTTAGTCTTTTTTATATTCTAGTATTGAAACATTTAAAAAAATGTTTATTTTCTATACTTGGACAATGAAAATAGCACGTATTTATCAACGCCTATTATTTTTTCTTTTATTTTGCTGATTTTGTATGAATCTTGTCAATTTTTTAAAACTTTGAACAGTTTAATTGTTTTTGATGTTTTCTTTTTACATTGTTGAAATTCTGGATGAAATTTTTTGATTAAGCCATATAAATAACCATTTATGTTGGTGAAGGGAATTTGGTGTATTATTAACTGAATTAAAGATCCAATCTTGTATTTTCAGTCAAATGCTTTGCTGGTGAAGATTCTCAGTTATCCAGGTCATGGTCAATCAAAAAGGAGTTAAAAACAAAACCAACTGGACTTTCAAATTTAAAGTTGAAGACATTTCGCTTCCCATCCAGGAGGCTTTTCCAATACAAAGGTTAACACTTTGATATGAAAAAGCCTCCTGGATGGGAAGTGAAACGTCTTCAACTTTAGAAGTGAAAGTCCAGTTGGTTTTGTTCTTAAACTCCTTTTTGATTGATCATACAATGCTTTAAACAGGGTCAGTAC